TTGAATCTGATAAATATATTCTGTCCAAGGGTGGTGTGTTTGTTGGTTTTGGATATTTATCAAATCGCATGTTTCGTTTAAATGTTGTGAATAAATTAATTTCTAGTGATAATTCTGTTTTTGTGGCATCTTCCATGAATGATTGTATGATTTGGCATGCTAGATTAGCTCATGTAAATTTTAGAAAAATGCATGAAATGTCTAAAGATGGTTTAATTCCGGCTTTTGATATTAATGATGATAAGTGTAGGACTTGCATGCTTACTAAGATCACAAAACAACCGTTTCCTAATGTTGAAAGGAATTCACTATTTTGGATCATGTACATAGTGATCTATGTGACTTTCACTCAAATCCTTCCCTTGGCAATAAAAGTATGTTGTTACTTTTATTGATGATTCGACTCGGTTTTGTTATGTGTATTTATTACACACCAAGGATGAAGCTTTAGAGAAATTTAAAGTGTATAAAACTGAGGTTGAATTGCAATTGGGTAATCCAATTAAATGTCTTAGGACTGATCGGGGAGGAGAATATATGGATCCCCATTATTTTCAATCTGTTGGAATCATTCATGAGACCACGGCTCCGTATACACCACAACAAAATGGTGTGGCCGAACGAAAAAATCGAGTGTTAAAGGAAATGGTTAATTCCATGCTTTCCTACTCGGGTATGATTGAAGGGTTTTGGGGAGAGTCCATGCTCACGGCCTGCTATTGTAACAACCTCAATTTCACAAAAATTTTAAATTTCAATATAAAAAGGTAAATAAAAAAATGATAAAAATTTAGTAACAAGATAATTTTCGTAATATATATCAAAGAATTATAAATCTAAGAGGCTAGATCATTTTGCCCACTAGTCACATAATGTTATACGTACATATGGACGCATGGCTATAACTTGATGTATGGTCACATATAGAGATACATATACACATGGTCTAACACTCTAGAAGGGAACAAATGCATGCTGTCATCATAATATTAAAAAAAAAATCAACATAACACTCATCCAAACAGCATGGTATACATTTGGCTAGCCCTTGAGAGAAGAAAACAAAAGTAGCAGTAGAGCAACAGGCAAACTCGTATATCACGAGTTAGAAGAAAACAAACGTAAGATTAGAATAGTCAATAATAATTCTTAGTATTAAAAAAGTGCTAGTAGGCATTAGTTCTTGTGAGTCTAGAGGAAAACCACGAACAAAATGACACTAAGGAAAGTAAAAATGGGAGAGGGCCGTGAGATAAGATGCTAAGGGAGGAGAAACAGGGAGAAAAGAGGAGGATAAAAGCATAGGAGGAAACTAAGAAGTAAAAATCTTGCCTAAATTTTTGAGGTCTGTGTTCATTCCCTTCTCAACTTAAATCATATTATTAAGCTTTATAATTTTATCACATTTATATCTTCTTGAAATGCATTGATTAATTATATCGTCATTTCGATTTACTATAACATTTAGTTGTACTGCCACGTTTTATTTGCAATCTGATGTATTATGATTTGAGAGATGCTTTAGAAATTTTTGATTTAAGAGATTGCCTGTTTTAAGTGTTCAGAATTAATGGATAGTAAATATCATAAAGTAGTGATAAAAGTTATTGATTTTGAAGTTAACTTTACTATTCTAAGAACTGATAATTCTATTAATCGATTCTTAAATAGTAAATATACCTACTAATAGTTAGAGAAGTTATTTTACTTGAGATTTATTAATTTGTAGATATACCCTTTTATAATTAAAATATGAATTAATATAAACTACGTAAGTTTCAAACCACCCGTGTAGTAAGGAGAAATTTAGTCTTTAATTTGAAATTTCAGATTTTACATGCTCACTAGGTTAATTTTCGAACTAAATTATTTACCAAATATTAAACTCTGTAAATTGTTATGATTAAGAAGGAAGCTTTTATAAACAAAAACACACAAGTTTAAGGCTATGTTTGGCATACAAAAGACTCTAGCTTCTAGCTTCTCTATTCTTTAAAAAGACCTTAAAAGACTCTAGTTGTATGTTTGGCATGACATTTTTAAGAGCTTTTCAAAAATTAAAAGATCTTTTTTGAGATGCTACCAGGTGTAGCATCTGAGAAAAGCTCGTGACTTTTAGTTTAAATTAGTCCTAACAGCTTGTATACCAAACCGAACTAAATCAAACAGTCAGCTTTTTACCAAACAGCTATCACCTTTTCTTTTTAAGATCTTTTCAGTCACTAAAAGCTAACAGTTACTAAAAAGCTCGTAAAAGTATCTTTTTAGCTAGTTGTGCCAAACATACCCTAAAAGATACAGATTTGTATTTACGAACAATATGAAATGATGAAATTTTGAAACCTATTATTATGGATTTAATTCGTTATATTTTTAATTAAGGATACCGTAGAATGAATAATTATGTACATTTAATATAATATTAAAATATCATAAACTTAATTTTAAATCCGAAGTTTATATATATGTGTACTAGAGATTTTTATAAATTATATTTTTACATAGTTAATTATACTTTGTTTAATAAAAATAACAAGTTGGATTTCAGATTATAAGTATTTTAAGTCCGTTCCATCTATATTCTGATATTCAAAGTTTCTCCCTAGCAATTGTGTTTGAAATACTAAACATATACAGTTCAAACTAAGTAGAATGACGTATATTCCTAAATAATTGTCTTGATCAATACTTAAGTAGTCTTAAAAAAAGATCAAACTGATATTTTTAGACGGCAAATATATTGAATACAGATATAGTCAAACCTTAACCTTTTATGATTAAGTCAATCATATTATACGTAGAGGTTTAGCTGGAAACTTCAATATAATAAGATAAATAGCCGTAATTAACAAAGAAGAAGAAGAAAATGCTGAATCAAATAATGAATAAAGAAAAAGGGAATTGAAACTTTGCTTTGGATTGGATAGGTTGGCATGCCAATAGGGATAATTAACACGGCCGTAGAATTTGATCAATGATTTCGGGTCCGTAGCCACCGAGTGGACAGCACCCAAATCTTGATATTTGACACACGCGCGCTTCTATACGGGTCCGTAGCCACCGAGTGGACAGTACCCAAATATGTTCGTTTACGGGTCCATAGCCACCGAGTGGACAGTACCCAAACGAGCCCCGACCAGAGCCACCGAGTGGTCAGTGCCAAAATAGTTCTCTGATGGTCCGAAGCCACCGAGTGGACAGTACCAAAGATGAGAACGTCCCGTTTATCCAGTCCAATAAATTAAGGAGTAAAATTCCAAAATAAGAAATGTATAGAAATTCGATTTGGAAATACAAACTGAGAAAAATGGAAGGATGCATTGAAAGTGAATGGAAAACGTTAAGAGCGTAGAGTATAATTTAATTTGTGATACAATATTAGAAATATTTGGAAATGGTGACTTTGAACAAAATGGTGATATTAATTACTACGTATATGACATATCTACAAGCTACAATAGCTATGAAGAGTGATATTTTTAAAGCACGGTTTTTATGAGCTATGTTGGTATTATTACAATTCGTGTTGATTATTATTTGTGATAATTTTATATTGAGAAAGAATGAACACCACTAAGCAAGATTTGCTTAGCGCGTTGGATTTTTGTCCTTCGCGTAGGTCAATAAGCGCTACAAGGCGGATCCAGGATGCATTTGGGAGCAACAACCAATCATCAAAGAGTCACATCCACATATTAGTAATAATCCATCTCTAGTTGCATAATAAGTACTCATTTAGCATATTAGTTGTGCAATAAATAAACATGAGAATGTTCAATTTTCATGGATGTATTTGATTACTCCAAAATCCAGAACTACTTGTGTAATATATTTATGCTTCCGCTATTTATGGACTTTGATAAACTCTATTATTAATCTCATTTAAATTAGGCCAAAAATATTTTAAGAAAATAGTTAATCAGTTAACGCTTTGGTGCTTCGGCACTGCGGGTAGCACTCCCTGCCCTAGCCTTCCGGGCCGGGTAGTGGGTGTTACAGCTATGTTCTAAACAGGGTTCCAAATAAAAGGAACAAGACAACCCCATATGAGCTTTGGTACAAGAAAGCGCCGAATTTGAAATATTTTCGGGTTTGGGGTTGTAGGGCGATTGTAAAATTGCCCGAGCCCAAAAGGAAAACTTTGGGGGAAAGGGGAATTGATTGCATATTCATAGGGTATGCTGAACATTCCAAGGCTTATAGGTTTTATGTAATAGAACCTAATGATGCGGTAGCGGTTAACACCATGATTGAGTCTCAGGATGTGATCTTTGATGAGATGAGATTTTCATCAATTCAAAGACCAAAGGACCCAGTTCCAGGCACTAGTGAGGTGCAAGTTCCAGAATGTTTGGATGGTGTTTTGAATCCCTAAGCACCACAAATAAGGAAAAGCAAACGAGGCCGCATCGTGAAAGACTTTGGTCTCGATTTTAACTTGTATTTAGTGGAAGGTTCAAGGGATGAAACGGGGGTACAATATTCATATAGTTACCAAGTTGAGGAAGATCCAAAGACCTTTAAAGAGGCTATGGAATCCCGAAATGTTGCCTTTTGGAAGGAGGCAATTGATGATGAAATGTAATCAATTATGGAGAACAACACTTGGGTGTTGTCGGATTTGCCACTGGGTTCTAAACCCTTAGGTTGCAAATGGATCTTCAAAAAGAAGATGAAAGTGGATGGAACTTTTGACAGGTTCAAGGCTCGGTTGGTCATTCAAGGTTTTAGACAAAAACTCGGCATTGATCATTTTGATACGTATGCGCCGGTTGCTCAAATTATGCTCATTTTAAAAGGTTACACATTTCAAACATATCATACTACATTAGAGATGAGTTTTATGTTAAATTGACATGAGTATAACGTTCAAAATGAATGAGCATACACAAATGCATTTTTTTATTTTTTTTATACTCATTTTGTAAGTTATGTGTGTTCATGTAGTACTACTTTATGCTCATTTTAAAAGGTTGCACATTTCAAACATATCATATTGCATTAGATTCACATATTAAAAGTAATTGAAATTGATTATAGACATAACTTAAGACTTTTTAATAAACGAAAAATAATAAACAGAAAGTGATGTATAAGGTATGAAGCAGACATCACTGATGCTCACCGTTAGGCTCCTAATACTCAAAAGAACAGACTTGGTGCTCAACAAAATTGCGTTAATGTTCATTCAAAAGAAGCCGTGTTTTTCATCAAAAATGCAAAAATGCCACCGGCTGTACGGATGACACCGTACAGCCGGTTGTACTGTATACGCTTCCCAGATTTGGTGCCCAATTTAGCTCTCATTCCCTAACCCTACCTCGCCGAAACCCGAGCGACATGTTTCTTCTGCAAGCCAAATGCTCTGATCTCAACGAACAGCCAAAGGGTCGTGTTCTCAAGCTCTTCAGAGCAGCCAAGCGGCGGCAGTGAAAAAAGTCAAACCGGCGATGAGTCCAAGCACCCGGAGATCAATGGGCCCACCTTCGACCGAGATGATTCCACGCTGGTCAGTGAGACTCGAGAGGTTATTGAGAAGATGGCGAAGAATATGTATTTTCTGAGTACGACATTGGGTATACTATGCGCTGTCCCGCTGGGTTTGGGTGCTTGGTGTTGTTATGGCTTGAGTCCTTCCATGCCTGAGACTTTGCTCTCGTGCTTCCTGGCCTCCGGACTTTCAGGTGCAATGGTTTTCGTGATAATCATTGCTCGAACCAAGGATGAAACTGGAGGAGCTAGGGAGGCTGCAGAATATGACTATGACCTTAGAGATTGCCAAGCAAATGAACTTGTTCTTTTGTCGCCTCCATAGCTTTACTTTTTATTGAATTGTTGCTTCTTCTGCTGGTTTATCTATGTTTCTATGAATCAGTCATAAATCAGTGTGACCAAGTCTCTTATGCCATAAATCAGTCATCCCCTTTTCACTCATGTGACCAAGTCTCTTATGCCATAAATCAGTCATGTTAGTATTCACCACAGCATTGACCCTATCCTTGAAGATCTTCGGATGTGTCATGTACAACTTTGAGCATCTTTTACCTCTAGCCACGATCAAAGAACCACGAGTGAGTTTCCATATTCCATTACCAAAGTTGTTGGTGTAACCATCATCATCAAGTAAGCCTGCGGAGATCAAATTAAGTCTCATATCTGGAACATGTTTTGCATTATGTAAAACCAACTCTATCCCAGTATCAAACTTCAAACAAATATCTCCGATGCCTGCAATTTTTGATAGTCCATTATTACCCATCCTAACATTACCAAAGTTACCTGGAGTGTAAGATGAATAAAAATCCCTCTGTGATGTTACATGACAAGTGACACCACTATCAACAATCCAACTGGAATCATCATGTGCAATGTTGACCATATCAAGATCAGAACAAATAAGGAACTCATCGGTAGTAGTGTTAACTTCAGCATTGCCATTACCACCCTCATCTTTCTTACGGTTCTTTTGATTGTTGTATTCGCTCTTCTTCTTCTCCTTTTTCAATTGCCTGCAGAACCGTATTGTGTGGCCTTTTCTACCACAATGATAGCACTCAAAATCAGCAAATTTTCCTTTGGATTTACTTCGATGCCTCCCTTTGTTACCTGGACCTCTACTCTGACTTCTCCCCCTGCTTTCTGTAACTAAGACATCAGAATGTGAAGAGAAACCTTGTGACTTTCTTCTCATCTCTTCATTTAAAACATTGCCTTTAGCTAATTCCATGGTGATAATACCATCTGGTGCTGAGTTGGACAATGATGTCCTAAAAGTCTCCCATGAGTCCGGTAAAGTGCCAAGGAGCCACAAGCCTTGTATCTCATCTTCAAACTTGATACCCATTCCTGCAAGTTGATTTATGATTCCCTGAAAAGAATTCAAATGATCATTGACAGGAGTTCCATCATGGTATTTCAAGCTCATCATCTGTTTTATTAAGAACAATTTATTGTTACCGGTCTTTCGAGCATACAACTGTTCAAGCTTGTTCCACAAACTGCGAGCATGAGTTTCCCCGCTAATATGGTTCAAAACATTATCATCAACCCATTGGCGAATATACCCACAAACCTGTCTATGCAAAATATTCCATTCTGCATCTGTTTTACTCTCAGGTTTATCAGTAGTAAACACAGGCAAATAATAATCCTTCACATAAAGTAGGTCTTCCATTTTGCCTTTCCAAACATGATTATTAGAACCATTCAAATTGATCATCCTACTTGTGTTTGCTTCCATCATTCAAACAAGTTTAACTCGATACAGAAGAACTCGGCTCTGATACCAATTTGATGGGAAAAATAGCCCCAAACGGTAACTAATAAAATGCGGAATTAATCTCCGTTTGGCTAAAATTTCCCCAACTTGAATGAACCTTTGAGGATGCAAACAAATAGGGTGTTCTTAATGAAATTAGAACACACACAATATTGCTGCCACACACCAATATAATCAACTAAAACAATAAGCACAAACCACACAAAAACACCGGAATTTTAGCGTGGAAAACCCGTTAACTAGGGAAAAACCACGGGACCATTTTGGCCGCTTAAATCCACTATCATCAAAGGAGCAGTACAAAGTCTTCTCTAGATAATACTAGAGGCATACAAAGTCATCATATCCTTGGAAGTAAGCACATCAAGGTGTATGGAATCAAAATAGAGCCAAGATAAGAAATATATCACCAGAAAAATAGCTACTGTCCAGACCAACGAAACCCGACCTCCGGACCTCAAAACCCGATCTCCACCGTCCAGAATGTTGTCCCAGATGCTGTGACGCTGCTGTCCAAAAATCACGACGATCCAACGGTTCAATCTCCGGGAAACGGAATTTTTCTGCAGCTGCCTGCTGAAAAACGGGATGAGCATTTCAGCTCATGTTTTGTGACTTGTTCTCTTTTCTGCTACTCTTTTCTGTCCATCGAATGTGAGATAGTGGCTGACCCATATTTTTATTATTAGCTCCCAAAAAAGAAAGTCAAAGAAGACTTTTAATGGGCTCAAAACTTGGGCTTTCCTCATGGGTCAAAAACAGAAAAACCCAACATCCTATGATTCGATAAATTCTACTCCGTACTTGGGATAAAGCTACCGTTCTTCAAAACAAAATCTATATTTCACGGCTAATAATTGTTGGGTATTGATGGTGATTTTAAATGACTGTTATGCGAGGGGGAACTAAATGAGGTTTTAGTTGGATATAAACAATTAAGTGACCGCTTGATAGTGATGTTTTTTGGCCTTTGAGAATTGTCTTCGTACTTTCCTTTTTTCATCTGCGAGAGGGATGAATCGATTATTTAGAAAAGTTAGCTTATATGTTTGATATTGAATTAATAAAATAATAATAAATAAAAAATGATTTAGAGTCACACAAACTTTACCAAATTTAATACTCCGCATGAAACAATTTTAGTTGGATTTAGAGTATACTCCGTATTTTATTGCTACGGATTACTACCTTCGTCCCGCTGGAAGGTTCCCATAACAAAACAGAACGGTTATTTTGGTGATAATTAAATAAAGTACTTCGGCTATGTTTTGAGAAATAATTTTAATAGGCATATATTATAATGTATTAGTATTGATAACTGTGATGTTATAAATTTATTATTTTTAATATTTAATGACTAATTTGTTAATTAAGATTGTTAATTGTTTCCTAATATGGAAATGAGAACCTTCTAATGGGTCACCCAAAAAAGGAAAAGTGAGAACCCTCTAACAGGACGTAGGGGTGGGCAAAAATCCCGGTCGTGGTGTCCCAAACCGAAAAATCCCGATACCGTTCCAAAACTATCCCGATCCATTTAGGACGCAAGTATTTCATCCCGCACCGATATTAATCGGGACGGGACCGGGATAGCTATAAAATATTATGTCCCGTCCCGTTTGAAATTAATATGTTATTTTAAATTTCTAATGCTATGTAATAGCCAAACCCAATTAAAACTTTGTAGTCCTTAGTCTCCCTAGTGTAATTTTATCTTCTTCTATGTCTCTCTTAGTCTTGTTTCTTTTGATTAAAATTTGTTTAATTCCCATTCCAATACTAATCCATAATATATTATTACGTGCGGAATATTATTTATGGTAAAATAACTACTACTCCAAATTATAGTGTTGTTATAGATTTAATATTTTCCATAATAACTAATAGATTATATATATATATATTGTCTTTATAGATATGATATTTAATTTAAAGTGGTATTGAAAAATTACAAGTGTACTACAAAAGTATATAATTATTTTGCGCTACTATATATTCTACTAGAGAAAACACAAGATTTGGGGGCCGAAAAATTTACAAGACAAAAATTAAAAGTAGTTAACTAAAGGTTTTACTTAATTGTACTTTTTTGGGAAGCTAAATTTGCAAAAATAATTACGTCTTTATTTTGATGTTATGCTTATTTTTATATCACATTTCACAAATGCATATTTTATGGGACATCCCGAACCGTCCCGGTTTTTCTCGGGTTGTCCCGGTCCCGTTTTAAATGAGACAATATTGGGATAAAGACTTATCTTGTACTGTACCATACCGGACTGTTATTATAAAACCGGGACGGGATCGGGATAAACCAAATCACGGACCGTCCTGGACTGTGCCCACCCCTAATAGGACGGAGGGAGTATTTAATAAGTATATACTCCATACGGAGTAGGACATAATTACTTATGAGTTAGGGCCCACCTAGTATAAATTAATTCCTAATGAATGAGTATTATTGCTATGGATTGGACTCGTATATTGTTGGAGTTTTGCTCTTTACATACTTCGTATATTTTTTTTAATTCAATAGCCCTAGTCGGAATTGAGTATTCGAACGGTTGGTTTTTACTTATTTTTTTCTCAACCTAATCTAGGTGTTCCTTTAGTCAGATTTGCGAATTCCGATGGGAGTAAAATGGAATTATGCATGTTTTCTACAAAAAAAAAAGGTTCCCCTAGTCGGATTTGCCAATTCCGACAAGAGATGTTCCACGAAAAAATCTAACCCTAACCCCTAGTCGGATCACCAAATTCCGACTCTCGTATTTTGGAACCCAATTTCATTACCCGTATTTTGGCGTGTCAGACCAAAAAGTCCCGCATTTTGATAATTTCATCGATTTAATCTAATACTCCGTATGATACAATTAAATATTATCGTATATATAGTTTAATTTGGTTATTATTATTATTAATTTGGTTTAGTCCAACCTTTTCATGTGAAGCAGCCCGCACTTCCGTTTATGAAATAAGAATAAAAAATATGATTCGTCATTTCCTAAGAATTAACGAATTCAAAATGGCATAATATTATACAAAAAGTAAATACTTCGTAAGTATTAATGCAGTAAATGTTAATCAACTACTCCCTCCGTTCTCTAATAGATGGGAGTATAGGCTTTGGCACAAGATTTAAGAAGAAATTAATACGGGTAGAATAAAAGGTGTAGTGGATTGTGTGTAAAGGAAAAAGTAGGAAAGAGAATGAGTGTAAATGAGTATATTTATTAAAAAAACTTACCAAAAGTGGAAAGAGGAACAACTAATAGAAAACATCCCAATGGGAAGAGGGCCAAGTATTAGAGAACGGAGAGAGTATATACCTTGTGTCAGAACCAATTCCGTGTGGGGGTTCAAGTGTTCAACCCGACAACCCCTATGGATGAATGATCTTCTCACCAAATTTGAATCCATGGCGAGCCATACGGCCATACCCATTATGTTGGTTGCAATATAATACTTTGGAGGGGTCTTACATGCAAATATGCAATACACCTATAGACAAAGCCAAGTAAGCATATACTAGAGATGACAGATGTACACAAGGGAACTTGACTCTTGTAAACCCGATATATAGATTGCTCGATCATGCAAACTTATTTTCCACCGCTACATCACCGTTCAGGGATGGACACATGAAGGGGCTGGAGGAGGCCTCAGCCGTGCAAGGAAAAAAATTAAGTATATATTATGTATAAATACTTTTAATCTATAAAAAATATGTTATATATTTTAAACTTTGACTTATGCAATGTAAATGTGTAAGAACCTCACCCCTCAACCATATATTTCTGGCTCCGCCACTGTCACCATTTGAGCTAATACATAATTACTACTCGAACTTTCCTCTCTCCATCTCACTACATCTTTATTGGGTGTTATTATAGTTACTCTTTTCTAAATAGTTGTGAGCATCCTATTTTGGACCAACAATATAATATAAAACTTAATGAGTAGTTGTGTTTAATAGATACTGTCTTTTATTAAAAGAGAAAATTGTCAAATAAGCCTTCATACTATATTCGAAAAGTCAATTAGTCTCTCGTACTTTAAAAACACTCATTAAACCCTCAAACTTCTAAAAAAACGTTCTATTGAGCGTTTTAGCAGGTCAAAAACTAGTTTCCACTTAACTTTTCACGTTGCGGGCCACATGGCAATTATTTTCGTTTTCCTTTATTCTTCTTCATTTTCTTTTCTCTTATCTATTTTTCTTTCCTTTTTTTCTAGTTCCCATGTTCTCCAATTTACCTATCATTCCCCATCTGCCACAACCCACAACTGGCCACAAGAGACGTGGTTCCTCCGTAACGTATCCAAAGTACTGAGCCAAATACGGCTTTTCTTGTTAGGACCTCCGACAAACTCGGGCAAAGGGCGGAAACTCCTGAAAGGGCGAGTCCTCTCCTCTATGCGAACAGGAAGAGAGTCAACGGTGCTGGTTTAGACTGCAGTGATTCACCCATGTTGTTTTAGGCTCAATTAGAGAAACAAATTGAGATCCTCCAACATTGAAAAATTTGTCCTGGACTCACTTCCTCAGAACTCCTTGGTGACTTTGTTGAAAGTCCAAGCCGTTCATCCGTCGATCGAAGGTCCAGAGCAAACGCTGATATTATTTCTGTAATCTCTAGCGAATTCTGGAAGCAACTCCGGCTATGATAGCCTCCCTCCTCTATGCGAATGAAAAGGAAAGAAACAAAAAGAAACAAAAACAAAAACAAAAACAAATAGTGGGCTTTTTGGAAGAGAGGGGTTTAAATTGATATGAAAGCATTAGCATTCAGAAAGGGAATAAAAAAAGTAAGGAAACACATATAACCGTCAGCCCGCGAACCAGACTCGGAGTTAATCAATCACTTTCAAACAAGCAATATAACTCGCTAATCCATTAATGGGCAGACCTAAGCCACATACGATTGAAGCAGACCAAACCTTACCTAATCCTAATGCAAGGGTCTTACAATAATAAAAGTAAACAACAGAAAAATAAACAGTCTGATCATAAAAATATAATGCAAGCAAACGGAAAAAAGAAAAAGATGTTTCCAAACTCTAGCCTCTCCTGCGCTACATGGCGGCGGTTCAGGAGGGGGACGATCCAGTAGTACCGAAACTTCTTCCTCGTGTTGCCTCTTATTCATCAGGTTCTCTACCTATTAGTGAGGGCCTTAGAAGCTCCTCTCAAAACTTTTAGAATTTTTTTCAACTCAGCCCTTTGGATCATGTAGAGCCTACTTGGTCATACTCATTGTTGTAATTATCTTACAACGAAAATCTACTTCTCCTGCGAAATTGGGGGGTTAATTCTTGATTTTTCCTAGCTCACATTAAATCTACTAGCTCATATTATCGCCAAAGTGTTCATGAGAGGAGGAGAAAACAATGAAGAATGCATATTTCTATTATTATGGGTTTTAAAATCTACAATTGACATTGATATATTTCCAAATTTCACATGCTTCATCTTAATTGACCACCTCTAGATTTATATTCATCATTTTGTAATTTAAAAAAAAAAAAAATCTCAATTGAATACTACTCCTTATTACATGTATTAGTTGGAATTCCCAGTCTCTTTAAAATCTGAATGTGTATACCGATATACGTCCGTTCCTATCCACATTTAAATTGTTTTTCTCAATACAATTGTTTTTCTAAATTCAGGAAATTCTAAACACTAGATAATTCGAAATAGGGAGTATAATAATAGATTAATAGGAGTACTACTCCCTATAATATACTCAATATTACTAGAAAATTAATAAAAATATGTCCTCTAAATAACTTCTAATAAAGTTGTACTACTGGGAATCTGGGAACCAAGTCAACCAAACCAACACACTTAACGTGTGTGAGATATCCGTTAGTTCGTGGAAGGTAAAGCACACACTTTTACATTTCCCTGGCTTTACAAAACTGGCAGGTTTTGAGTCATGCAAAACAAGCTGTATATTTTTTTCACAAAGCTTTCTCCAGAACCCCGCTCTGAGATTCATTTTGACCTACCAAGCTTTCATCTTCCCTCTGAAATTTTTCCTTCAGTTCTTTCATTGATATTTGATACTACTGAAAATCAGTTATATCAGTCAATATCATGGCTTCAAGTTTTGCCAAGAGACAGACCACCAAGTTTTAAGGACCTCTTCTTTTGAATTTTTTGATTTTTTTTTTTGAATTTTTTTTTAAGTTTTTGGGTTGGATTGGATATTTTGGGCCATTTGAGATGGTTTGAGGTGGTTTGGGGTTGAGGGTAGGGGGTTGATTAGGAAAACCCAAAAAAAACAATTATATAGAACCGAACTGGGCCCGGCCCGAACCGGACCCGGGGTTACCCGGGCCGGTTCCGGGCCTCCCCTACCTTGAACTGAGGCCCGGCCGGTTCAAGGCCCAAACCGGGCCCGGCCCGGAACCGGTCCGGGCCTAATTGAGATGTCACAAAAAAACATTATAACATTCACAAATAACACATAATAGTCATATTGATGTCTAAACATAGCATGTAAGCACAAGCACCACATATGGACTCATCGTTGGATTCTCTTCGGTTGAAGCTGGATTCACAGATCTCCTGGCGGTTTGACTCATCGCCGCTATGACAAATTGCGACTTCCTTCAAATTCATCTTCATTATCAACACCAAAGAGACCGGAAGAACGAAGGTTTGAAGTATGTTCATGTAACATGGGTTCAACTGAAATCCTCACGATGTACAGCAACAAAGCAATTAAAATCAGCGGAATGAGGCAGACACAGAATGTCATACCCAAACATAATGCAAATTCCTTCATCGTCTCAAAATATTCGTCTCGGGTCTCATAGGCTTGCGTGGATTCGTTTCGGTCGAAGCTGGGCTCACAGATCTCCCGGCGCTTCAACTCACGGCCTCTTTGAGATTTTCCGCCGCCGCCGCTTGGCAGCTCAGCCTGCTCTGAAGAACTTGAGAATACGGCCCTTTGACCGTTCGTTAACAGAGACAGTCCTCTGAGATCAGAGCGTTTGGGTTTAAGAATAAATTTTTGGTATATACCGCTAGGGTTCCGGGCTTCCGGCAGGGTAGGATATGGGGATGAGACCAAATTGGGCTCCAAATCTGAGTAAAGGAATCTGGGAAACTGAGTTTTTCGATGGGTGAAGAGGGAGGAGACGACGAATTGGGTGAGGACAGGCGAGAATCTCTTCTTCCCCGAAACACCATTCCTGGTGCAGAGATGAGGTAGAGACGAAGAAAGAAGATGTCCGAAAACCCTAGAGGTCTGTCTCCTAGCGAAACGCGAAGCCATGATATAAATTTAACTGGTATAGTCGTATAGAACAAAAGGAAACAATTTAATCGAAAACAATTCTCATTCTTATTCCTCTCCCAAGCTTTCGGTTATATAGACATTTACATGGGTCCGTTTACATCCTTCCAGATCCAGGAGACTTTGAGTCCTAACAGCAAACAAATCAGGATCAGTCATGCATTAATTAATAATCTGTAATAAATATAGCTTCCAGATCGGCATCGTGCATATGCAAATTTCCGTATACCAAAATTTTCAGTACTATCAAAGCAAGAATTGAAAGAGATAAAATATGATTGTCCAAAAACTATGATTACGATCTGGAAGGGCCTAGCATGATTAATTATAATATGTATAATCATAATATATATTATGATTAATATGAGTTAATCAATCACCTTCAAACAAGCAATATAACTCGTTAATCCATTAATGGGCAGACCTCACCTAATCCTAATGCAAGGGTCGTACAATAATAAAAGTAAGCAACCGAAAAATAAACAGTCTGATCATAAAAAATATAATGCAAGCAAACGGAAAAAAAAGAAAAAGATGTTTCCAAACCCCAGCCTCTCCTGCGCTACATGGCGGCGGTTCACTAGGGGGGCGATCCAGCAGTACCGAAACTTCTTCCTCGTGTTGCCTCTTATTCATCAGGTTCTCTACCTATTAGTGAAGGCTTCAGAAGCTCCTCTCAAAACTTTTAGAATTTTTTTCAACTCAGCCCTTTGGATCATGTAGAGCCTACTTGGTCATACTCATTGTTGTAATTTTCTTACAACAAAAATATACTTCTCCTACGAAATTGGGGGGTTAATTCTTGATTTTTCCCAGCTCATATTAAATCTACTAGCTCATATTATCGCCAAAGTGTTCATGAGAGGAGAAAACAATGAAGAATGCATATTTCTATTATTATGGGTTTTAAAATCTACAATTGACATTGATATATTTCCAAATTTCACATGCTTCATCTTAATTGACCACCTCTAGATTTATATTCATCATTTTGTAATTAAAAAAAAATCTCAATTGAATACTACTCCTTATTACATCTATTAGTTGGAATTCCCAGTCTTTTTAAAATCTGAATGTGTATACCGATATACGTCTGTTCCTATCCACATTTAAATTGTTTTTCTCAATACAATTGTTTTTCTAAATTCAGGAAATTCTAAACACTAGATAATTCGAAATAGGGAGTATAATAGATTAATAGGAGTACTAGCTACTCCGTATAATATGCTCATATCAACTTGAAAATTAATAAAAAGATGTTCTCTTAATAATTTGTAATAAAGTTGTACTACTAGGATTCTGGGAACCAAGTCAACCAACACACTTAAAGTGTGTGAGATATCCGTTAGTTCGTGGCAGGTTAAGCACACACTTTTTCATTTCCCTGGCTTTACAAAACTGGCAAGTTTTGAGTCATGCAAAACAAGCTGTATGTTTTTTTTTTAACAAAGCTTTCTCCAGAACCTCGCTCTGAGATTCATTTTGACCTACCAAGCTTTCATCTTCCCTCTGAAATTTTTCCTTCAGTTCTTTCATTGATACTACTGAAAATCAGTTATATCAGTCAATATCATGGCTTCAAGTTTTGCCAAGAGAAAGACCACCAGGTTTTTAGGACCTCTTCTTTCTTCATCTTTGCCTCATCTCTGCACCAGGAATGGTGTTCCGGGAAGCACCAGAATCTCACCTCTCCTCACCCAATTCGTCGATTCCGACTCAGTCAAGTCTCCTCCCTTTCCACCCATCGAAAACCTCAACTTCCGAGATTCCTTTACTAACAGATTTGGCCCCAAGTTTAGCTCCAGTCCCAATATATACCAAATATTTCTTCTGAAACCCAAACGCTCTGATCTCAGTGATCTGTTTCTGTCAACGAACGGCCAAAGGGTCGTATTCTCAAGTTCTTCGGGGCAGTCAAGATGCAGCAGTGGGAAATGCCAGACCGGCGACGAGTCAAAGAGCCCGGAGATCTGTGGGACCACCTTCGACCGAGACGAATCCGAGCTGGCCGAGACCCGAGAGGTTGTGGAGAAGATGATGAAGAGTATCGCTTCACTGAGTAAGGCAATGAGTTTTCTCTGCGTCATTCCGATGGGTTTGGGTGGTTGGTTTATGATTGGCTCGGGGTGTTCTTCCATGCCTGATATTTTGCTGCCGACCTTCTTGGCCTCTGGGCTCTCGGTTCAAATGGCTTTCGTGATGATAAGGTCGCTGGAACCAATACTGTTGTTCCAGAGAATGGAGGCGCTGGGGAGGCTGCATACCACGACTATGAGCATAGAGATTGCCATGCAAATGAACTTGTTCTTTTCTCGCCTCCATGTGTGTTTTCTTTCTTGCATTGCTGTTGCTTCTGTTGGTTTGGTCTATGTTGTTTTCATTAGATAAATTGAATTTATGGGCAAAAATCCCGATTCGATATCCCTGATACCGTTCTGAAACTATCATTTTCATTTAGGATGCATTTTTTTTCATCTCGAATCGGTCCCGTATCGATATCCATCGGGATGAGACTAGGACAACTAGACAGTACTAGTATAAAATATCATGTCACGTTCTGGTGTCTCGTTTGAATTTAGTAGGTTATTTTAAATTTTTAATGCTATACAATAGTCAAGCCCAATTAAAAGTTTATATCCTAGTGTAGTTTTATTTTATTTCATGTCTCTCTTAGTCTCCACTCTTGTTTTAATTCTTGAAATATAGGCAATGTGAGTGATACATACGTAGTATTGTTTACGGGAAATTGTAGGATTTGTTTAACCTTTTAAGTAAGCTAAATTTCCAAAATTATTTACGTCTTATTTTAATGTTATGCTTGTTTTCTATATGCACTCCCATATTTGCTATGTAAAGCCACAAAGTTTCCGTAATAATTTACATTCTCTTTAATTCCTAGTATGCCCTTAGTATCTAATACGCCCTATTCCAAATCGGCATCCATATGGCCTGGCCACGTATTGAAGAGTTTCCAGAAAGATGAAGGAAACAAGAGAGGTTCATCAGTTTGTGAATCAAGAGAAACTACCCTTACTCTCGATTTTAATCAATCAAGATGGCAGAAGCCTTCGGTTGTAAAGGCATACAACTTTTGATAGGCACAATCAAACGATAAATGTTGTATTCTTTGGATCATGTAGAGCCTACTTGGTCATACTCATTGTTGTGATTATCTTACAACGAAAATCTACTTCTCCTACGAAATTGGGGCGTTAATTCTTGATTTTTCCTAGCTCATATTAAATCTACTAGCTCATATTATCGCCAAAGTGTTCATGAGAGGAGAAAACAATGAAGAATGCATATTTCTATTATTATGGGTTTTAAAATCTACAATTGACATTGATATATTTCCAAATTTCACATGCTTCATCTTAATTGACCACCTCTAGATTTATATTCATCATTTTGTAATTAAAAAAAAAATCTCAATTGAATACTACTCCTTATACTAGTTGGATGGTTTCTACGGTGCCCTATTTGATTTCTAGGGTACGGTGCCCTGCCTATGTGGTCAAATAAGTTATCGCCATGTGGATTATTAAAATGCTGACCAAGCATTCAATTTAAGAAGCAAAATTTGCACATCAGTCCTTGCGTGATAAACGGAAATTAACGTTAACGGAGGTCCTAGTTACCTTCTATTCACCACAACCCAGAGTCCCCGGACAACAGCCCCTTCTCTCCAACACCAGAACGGTCGTTGCCTACTACCCACCGCAACCAGACGACAGCTTCTTCTCTTCGCAACCGATGACACAGCGCCGTTTCCTTCGCTCCCTGGCTGCTGGAACATTATTGCGGAAGAGTATCGCAACCGCGACAAGTTTTGTAACGGGATTCAATCTCAACTAAGTTAGCCCAATCAATTGAGATTATCGAGCATCCGAAGGTTTCTCTTGAGCAAATTCTAAGAAATTCGGTAAGTACTTGGTTTATTAATCACATCTAATTTAGGGATTCTCTTGAGAAAGATGTTGGGGTTTTCTCACAAGCTCTTAATCTCAGGGTTTATTTGTCCAAATAAGCTTTTGTTTTCTATGTCAAATAAGCATTTTTTCTGTTTCTTTGTTTTGCTTATTTCTGTTTTGGCAGAAGGGATTTTCTTCTTCTTCTTCTTCTTCTTCTTTTGTTTTTGCTTGATAATTAACAATTGCTTATTGCTCCGTAATCTATATCGGAGTATTGCTTATTGCTCTGAAATTTGGTTAAGTTTTATGGAAGCTTTTGTTTTCTGTGTCAAATTAGCATTTTTGTTGTTTCTGATTAATTTGTTTCTGGTTTTAGACTATTAGTTCTTAAACCACCAATGGGTTATTGGAATTAATTCTACACAATGAGATTGATACTCACTAATCACCAATCACATTCTTATCAATACCATTGTGAATCTGAGTTTAATACTAAACAATAGAATTTTAAGAACATGAGGATGAATTGAAACTGGTGAAGCTTTGTATAGCCCATATAAAAGTCATCACCTTGAACTTTTTGATTTATCACTATTTGCATTTGCTGCAATTTAATTGGGCTCCATTAATTGCTGTGTTTTTGCTTAACTTCATATCAGATTCATATACGGAGTATGTTTCTTGTTAAACTTCCAAGATTGTATTTGTAAATAAATTGCAGGTCACAATTGTTATGAAGTTTGCAACTTATGCACCAGGATGTAGAACTGATAATGATTCACACCAATACCCCATTATCATACAAATCAGATGAAAAGTATATGATTCTCTTGATTATTAAACGCTGCCAATTAATTATTAGTTATCCATAAAATAGCAGCTAAAAAACCCAGGTCTTATAGCCTTATTGTCGGTCAAAGAAAATAATTACCTGAAACTAAAGCTTACCTTAGTCTTCAAAGAAACTTTTTATCGATACACATATGAGCAACACAATTGATGACTATTAGTCTCCAAAAAGTCTACTCTGTTGGTCTTCATCCTAGTGAGTAGTTAGTATAAGTTGATCAAAAGTCAACTACACCAACCTAGGATAATTGGGATCAAAGAAAATATAACAAACGGAGCATCAGATCAGAAAGCAAAGTTAAAAAGCAAACAAATCCAAATTGAAGTAGCATGGTCTTGTTTTAATCTAGTAATCATTTCCCGAACTTGTATGGAACCTGAGATAACACCTGATGATATTATGAGGGCTGGAGGGTTAGGAGCTAGAGACAATATTGGCAGTTTCCTCCCTACAACCATTGTCACAACTAACTTTGAAGCCTTTTAGATCAGACGTAGATTCATACCACATAGTGTCACGCCCCGGACCGCATCCGTGCCACGTAGACAACCGCCGTACAACCCAATAAGAACAACGTAGTTCATTCTTATCAAATCATACAAGGCGTCCGAAAGATTCTATTGCCAAACCGATTAGTAAACCCATACAATCAACATCAATATATAAATCAAACACATGCGGAAATAAAGTATGTTTGACATTTAGCCACACGTGGCAAACATGAGCACGCAGGCCCTTCAATAGTTTAATAGAAAACATCGTTCAAATATCCATGAGCAATTTCATTATTTCAAATAAGAATGGAAGCACGAACCACGTCTTCCTTATTTGAGTTCACCCTAGGCAAAGGTGCAGGTAGCAGGACTCTAGCCTTAACCTGAAAAAATGTGAGGGCCCCCGAAGGGGTCAGTACTCCATAGAAGTACTAGTGACAAGCAGGCTATATGAGGAATAACTAATGTCTCAGACACGAGACCCAAAAATAGGATGATACATATATTTATAGGTGTAACCATTGTCACCCCATTCCCAAGATAATACATACTGTATATACTTGTAAAATACTTGACCCGTAGGTCGTTTCATCACAAAGAGTCTTTTAGAGATAAGGTTCTTCCCCAACCTATCCCCTTTCCATTCCTGAATGCCTAGCTTGAGAGCTACATTCTACCTTCATAATATCCTACCGAGTTTCAGGAGTGTTTACCCTCCCGGGGATGCTCAACCCCACCGAGTTTCTGGGATTGTTTACCGTCCCGAGGATACTCAACCTCACCGAGTTTCTGGGATTGTTTACCGTCCCGAGGATACTCAACCTCACCGAGTTTCTGGGATTGTTTACCGTCCCGAGGATACTCAACCTCACCGAGTTTCTGGGATTGTTTACCGTCCCGAGGATACTCAACCTCACCGAGTTTCTGGGATTGTTTACCGTCCCGAGGATACTCAACCTCACCGAGTTTTAGGATCGTTTACCGTCCCGAGGATACTCAACCTCACCGAGTTTCTGGGATTGTTTACCGTCCCGAGGATACTCAACCTCACCGAGTTTTAGGATCGTTTACCGTCCCGAGGATACTCAACCTCAACCTTATTTCTAACCAAACCCTAACCTGGATATGGCTAACTTTGCATTCACTTAACTATGGACAATACCTAGTCCTATAGTCATATAATAATCCTTAGTAACCAACGTGGACGGGTCCCACCTGATCGGTCCACGTTAACCTACTCAAAAACTACCCGTTTTGAGTATAACTCAATACTCGATCGAGTACCCACCAATACTCGGTCGAGTACAGGAGACAGGAGCCCGTAAGGCTAATTTCCAAGGCATACTCGATCGAGTACCTATCCATACTCGATCGAGTATAGGAGGCAGCAGCCCTTGGAGCCAATTTTTCAGCAGATACCCGGTCGGGTATTGTGGTTGACTTGGCGGTCAACGCCCGTTTGACCACCCAAACGGAGTCCGATTAACGTGAAATTTTACATGCATATTCTACTTGAAGTCCTTGATCCAAAAATACCATTTTTGACTCCTGGATCATTGTACATAATAAGTTATCACATTTTTAATCACCAAACATACAAAACATGCCTTTCAACTTTGTTTTATATATAATCATGGCATAAGCCCATACTTGATCAACTTAATCATTCCGTAAAACATATCCTTGATTACCTTAGGTAATCTCATGCCTCAATCAAAAGTTATAAAGCATATAGCCGTCTTCTCACCTCAAAAGAAGCTTATGAAGTTCTAGCCTTTCTTATTGAGCTCCGGTGAAACTCCGGTGAACTTCAACGAACTCCGGCGACACTCCGGCGACCCTTTCAACTCCGTGGAAGTCCTTGAAGTACCTTATACAAGTTAACAACAAGGTTTTATCATCATAAAACCCATATCAACACAAATAACCTCTAAAAGGTTATTTTCCGACGAACCGGTCAACTTTGTTCTCTAAATCCGTTTTGGATATGAACCAACCTTCCAACCCTTCATTCTTCCCATATAACATGTAGAATGGTCCTAGGGGTGTGAAATATGATCATATAATCATATTGGAAGGTTAATGAAGAGGGATGAGATTAATGGAGTTATTACCTTGTTTATCCTCAAGTTTTCCTCCTTCTTTCTCTTTTCTTTCCCCTCCTTCTTCTCCTTAAGCTTTGGTTCGAATATGGTGGATGAAAATGGAGATTTTGATGGGCTTCTCTCACTTGGTTGATGCTGGATACGAATGGGATTAGTTGGTGTGATTGAGAATGCCATTTTGGCATCTCTCACAATAATACTATGGCAAGGGTCCCACCTTCCAATTGATTGAGCTCTCAATCAATTTTCCTCCTTGTTTCTCCATGTCCTTGTGCGGCTCCCATGGGCATTTTCAAGACTAAAACGTGGGGATGGCCCCCACTTAGATGGGTGGTCATCCCTTTGTGTCCCCGAGTGTACACTCGGTCCCGAAAGTTGTATTTTCCGGACTGTTTTAACTATGTTTCATTTTAATCGGGTAAAATGAAATATCTATCATTCTTCCAATTATTATTGGATGTAAGAATGAGTGTACATCCCCCAACTTTTAATTTAGCGGTCTCCATAATTTATTATGGCTTTTATCTGTCAGTACACCGGTACCGATAAATGGGCTTTATTTGCCAAAAGGTTACTCTCATAACTTCTATGGCCCAACCAGGCTATCCACCATTATACACATATTATCTTGACCCAAATGAATATAATATGTGGTCCCAATATTATCGGGCGGCCCCCCACTTCCGGTGTGGGCCCCACGTAAATTTTACTATTCACGTAAAAGAAAGGATACAAATTCACAATCACGTAAAATGCGTTTATTCATTTCTTGGATTCAATACATAATTTGATAAAGTACAAATACTTGGGGGCGGTGTTACAAGTTCTACCCCCCTTATTTGGGATTTCGTCCCCGAAATCCACGTGTCTAGTCAAACAGAAATGGATACTGTTCCCTCATCAGGGTCTCCACTTCCCAAGTTTGCTCCTCGACACGATCACTCTTCCAAAGTACCTTCACCATCGGTACCTCTTTACTCCTTAGCTTCTTTACCTGTCGGTCCATGATCTTTACCGGCTGCAC